GGCGGCCTCCTGTTCCCGAAGAGGTTGGACCCATAGGCAATGGAACTTTGTAGGGGAGGCCTTGACTTCATCCTGCAAGGACCAAATGTGAATGTGTCTCATGGAAGCAATAGAGCTAAAGCTGCCTTTTCTAAAGCGCTGGATGGGTTGGAGGGCAAGCAGAACACTTGTTGCTACTTCATGACGTCAGCCGGTCTCTATGCCTGGTGGAATCTCTCCCTCCAGTTGCTGATCCCAAGCGAAGCCGCCGCCACCCATCCCTTTCTGTCACTTTCAGTGCTGTGTCTTGGTAACGGTGACCTTACTTGCTTGAACTGCTCTAACCAGTTACACAGCTTAAGCTCTGCAACCTCTTATTTATGTGACATTTACTGCCCTTCGTTCCCCGGAAGAATCCCATATATTTTTTAAAATTCACTATGAATTAACTTTGATCATGACTAGCTTACACCTACAGTTTGGCATGCAACTGTCGTAAAAAATAATTTTCATCCTGGAGCCTCTGCCCTGCCCTGCCCTGCCCCTGCCAATAGCTTCACCCAAACATGTTCACGGCCTGTTTTGCTGGCTGGCCTTTGCTGGACTGGGACTGATTTAAGTTTAAATTAACTTAAAAAAAAAAAAAAAAGCTGAATGTTTACGGACATGATGTGACTCAAGACTTGTCACTGACTCTCTGATCCTGAGCTGTCACCTCTGACTAGATCCCCTTCAGGGAACTGATTCTGTAAACACTGAACACTAGGATCCCACCCTAGGATCGGGTGGGATCCAGCTTCTTTCTGAAAAGAACTGCCAGCTTGGGTGGGCAGAGAATTTGACACTTAAGCCTTTCGCCTCATACTTTTATGAATCAATTTTCCCTTTTACTGTCTGTCTTTTCCATTCTAGTTGCACAAGAATTTGGAGGCGATATTGAAAGCTTTCTGACCCCTTGCTCCTTGCTTTTAGCAACCTAGCATTCTGGATGACTTGAAAGGGCACGGAGTCTGTGCGTGCAGTAAAACTGCAACCTGCTGGGTCCCAAGCATTTAGGGGTCAGTAAATGTGCAATAAGGTGGCACCTGCAATTCCCCTCCCAGTGAAGTGTGTACATTGTTCCAATTGGTCTTGGAATAAAGGGAGAAAGGACGCCCTTGTAAACTGCCACTCACCCCTATGACCACTCTAGGATAACAAAAGCACTTTTCTCTTCCAACTTATTAGGCACCCTTTCCTTCTTCATCTACCTTGTAGTAAGCAGCGGATAATCATTGCTTTTGGGTTGTCACCTGTTCTGACCCAGCTCATGTTATAGCCCTGTGGTGTATGGCCTGGGGCTTAGCAAGAACTGGTTTCCCCTGTATTTAGGAATCTCTTCTTTTTTCAGACTGCTCAAGATTTACAATGAAAGCTAGTCTGGGTAATTTGGTTGCCCTTAACTCCTTATGCATAAGAGAGGATGGGATTTAAGTAGCCTTTGCAGGGATATATATCTTCATCAAAACCTACTTCCCAGCTGAAAAAAATAATACAAGCGCCATCAGAACCTAGGTATGGGTGCTTTGTGTTTTTTCAGGCATATCTATATATGGCATATAGATCTAGGTATATGCTAGGCCATGTAAGTTTCTAGATGCTGAATCTGGAAAGATTGAACAGGCCTGTCCCTTAATTGCAAAGCTGCTTGGGAGTAGGCAGAGCAAGAAAACTCTGGCGGTAGCCAAGTCTAACTTAATTCTTGGCTGTTAACGATCAGTGATGAGCAATCGGTGCTGCCAGTGCATCCAGAAAAGCCTATTCTCCTGAAAGTGACTCTGTAAGGTAAAACACAAGCAAATGCTGTGCAGGCGGCATTGACATGTAACATCGTTCCAGCCCATTCCAGGCTTCAGTATAGATGCAAAGACTCTCGTACCAAATCCCTGTCTGATTTTCACCTTATTTCGCCCAAGCTCCCCTTGTGCTGATTGGCATATAGTATATAGCCAGGGCTCCAAAACTTTGCCAGACTACTTAATTGCTTTCACATCACTACCTCTTTCAGGGGATTGTTTAGAAGCAATGCTATGTTTGGTGAGCAAATGTCTCCTTTGTGGATTTTAAAACGTAAGAGAATGCATGTGCAGCCTTAAAAATGTCCGCTGTCCTCCTTTTGTCTTTAAAAAGCCACACAAGTCATTGCATGAGACACACACAAACAAACACGCCTTCCTATACACTGGTCTCCTTCCTGAGGGGTTGTTGAGGCTTTTATTCCATGCAGTTTCACCCCAGACTACCTTTAGGAGTCGTCTCACATTTGTAGTTTACAAAACAAGCGGTGCTATAACAAGCTAAATTTATTTTCAAGGCAGCTGATCTCTCAGTTGCAGCAAATGTATTTAGTGCTCTTCACATCTGAATCAAACAGAAGAGAAATAATTTCCTCCTCCATCGAATAGGTGGCTTTGTAGGTATCTGGGTCAAAGAGGAGACATCTCTTATAAAATTCTCAACGTTTGAAAGCACCTTGGCTATTTATAATAATTGCTTTTTTTTACACAACTACAGTAACATCATGGGCAGCTGTAGGTTTGTTTCAGGACAAGGTGCACTTGTCTTTTTCCCATATTATTCCTCCATTGTTCCAGCTATACTCTTTGTAGCCCTGAATTAGGAATCTTTGTACTGTAGATCTGCTCTAAAGTAGTGGCTAAAACCAGAGGCTTTGCTCCTTTAACTGCATGGTGTTTGTTCTGGGGATTTGGCACAATCGAGCCCTAGAATCAAGTTTTTAAATGGGGCTTACCTCAATTCTTGCAGATCTGGCAGTATAATAAGAATATCCCCCTGTAGAGTGCTTAAGCTGTTGCACCCCTTGGCCACCTGCCAATACTGACAGATGGTTTGGTGGAATACACTTTCTGAAAATGGAAGCAGCTTCACACTTAAAATACCAGGATTCCATTTTTATAATGCAGAAACAATTCTCGGGACTGACATTCTCGAATGCAATGATTAATGTAATGGCTTGATAGAAACCCAAGTACTAAAATACAACATTCTTACACAGAGGTGTAGATAACGGAAGAAAACAGAAACTCAACATAGCATCTATTACGCTGGCTTTTTCATTTCTACCAGATGCTTAGTTATGACAAAAAAAGGCATCCTTAAATAGCTATTTGTAGAAAAATAGCCAGAAAAATAAGACACTCCTTCCTGAGCATTATGAAAAAAGAAAGGGCGCTGATCTCAAATGACAGAATTTTATTTCTAAATCCTGTAGTACAGGCTTCCTAGTTTTTGTTTTAAAGAATGTTCTTTAATGCAAAAAAAAAAAAAAAGGCCTACTCTCTTGCCTGTCTCCCTTTTGTTATTAATAACAAAACTATCTTTCTTACTCTGATGTGGTGGTACATTCGCCTGTTCTCCCTTCCCCTTCCCTTCTTTTGGTGCTACTGAACTGTTTACAGGACAGTCCTTTAACTACCTGGAAGACACTTCTATTAACAGAAGCCCTGGTCTGATATTGGTATTAGCCCTGTCCTCTTGTCACTTGCAACCAATAACTTCATAACTCTGCTTTCCTGCAGGAAATACACAGGTGGCATTTTCAATGTGAATCCAAAGCTTGTCAGGTCCTTTACATTTTTGTTTTGCCTTTTATGTTCTTTTCATTGTGATAATGCTGTATTTAAAGAGGATATTTAAGTGTAAAAACAAATAAATGCGTAAACTTACATGAAGTGAATTTTGTTCTCAAAATGGGTGCTGCCTTCTATTCAGTTACAGACCCCGTGCATGTGCGTGCATGTTTTTCTGTATTTTTCACAGCTGCTTTTAACCAAAGTGCAACATATGATTAATACTTGCAGAGTCTGCATTTGTGAAACAATCCTTTCTGTCTAAAGGAATTAAACAGTATCAAAGTATATACAATGTTTCATCATAACGGTGAGGTTCTGCATTGGATCACGGGAACACCTTCCAAGTAGCAGCTTTTGCAGCTTGGCTTAATTTTGAATTGTGACAAGTCTATAAATTTATCCCATAGTGAAACCTAATGGAAAAATCTTTTCACGCTTCCGGGGTTTATTCTCTTGCATAGATTTTATTTCAAAAAGACTGATCATATTACCTGGACTAAGGTGTACACAAGAAAGACTTGGGTCATGAACTTAGTAGTCACTGGTTATTTTACATGGGGAAAACAACTATTCATAGCTTCAGTGTTTCCAGTAATTTATGATTCAAGCTCAGGCACTCAAGAGAAGTCACAATAGTGATATGTTAACAGAATCACTTCAAAACGCCACAATTAACAGGATTGATGCATGTTTTTAATGTTCGCCATCTTGCCATCTTTAATGGTAAACATTTATCTTTCAAGTAAAATACATGTAATATACACATTTCTCACACATTTTATGATTAGCTCAAATACAGACTTCATCTTATACACGCCACCCAGAATTCCAGCTTCTGGTATCATGCAGTCTAATTTTTTTTTAACCCCCTTCCTCTTCCCCACCCCCCACTAAAGGATTTTTTCAAGTCTGCTATACTTCGTAATAATAATAAAAATCCTGTGATCTTACAACTCCTGAGAGACCAAGATTGAGTCTTCCCTTTTGATAGGAATGAGCAATGCTATCTCAGCTATGCCTTCCCGGTCTTTAACTGCCTTGGGTCTTTACTACTAAGTCTTGCAAAATCAGGATCAAAAAGGAGAAACTCTGTGTGTGTGTGTGTGTACAGATGAAGAGACACTTTAGCTTCAATACTGTCCTAACATTTCCATCCTAGTCCCTCTAAACAATTGCAACTGGAAAGAAATAAGAGTCCCTGAAACATTTCAAGACAAAAGAGATGGATGAAACAAACATTAAGACACGTGGATCTCTTCCCCCGTCCCCTTTAGCTGGCAAGAGTGAAATCACAGAAAGTGGTATGTGACTCTGACTGTACGTTTAGCAAAAAAAGCTGCAAAAAAAGGCACATTGTACCAATGTGCATTCTGCAATTGTTCATTTTTAAAAATATATTTATACGGGTTCCTGGCCAATATGAAACAAACTTCATTGTAGCCATTTGAGGGAGTTGATGTGTCTTTCCAACAGAAGAATTTGCCTCAAGCATTATTAGCAAGATTTTGGACTGGCAAGCCTGAACAGTCATATATTTTGACAATCCAAGAAAGAGACCTGTAAGATCATAAGTGAACCAGGCTTAAATGCAAAGTTAGTGAAATATACAGCAGAGGTATTTTGTTGCGTATCTTAGCAATTGTCTTCACTCAAAACAGTTAGTGGGAGAATTTTATTAGTACTGCAATGTTTTCTTCTAGTGTCACCTCTACACTAACAAATTCACTGGAGTGTCTTCTGCTGGATTCTTGCCTTCCAACCCATCCACACACACCCTTTTTTTCTGAGTCAATGAAAATAAAATGTATTCCCCTTTCTGGTTCAGCCAACAGACAATATACAGCATATATTCAATAATCCAGAAGGGGCTGTTTCCGGTTACCTCTTAGAGGAAGGGGTGAAGTTGATAGAAAGTAAGACCATCGCGTGTGCCAAGAGTGAAGCCTCAGAGTCTGAAAAGAGAGCAACTTTCTATTTCACTGGATTATATTCATAAACATTTTAACACTAATTTTGATTGCAAAGAGAAATTAAGACATACAGAAATAGGAAGGAGACAATTCTCAATCCCTTCTGAAAGGTTAGGAAGAACAAGACTTACCTGCTTCACTTACTGTCTCCTCAATAAACCATTCATTTTAAAAATAAATTATTTTGGTTTAGAAGGTTAAATCCGATTTTTGCTATGTTTCTATAGCTAAGAACTTCATTATTTTTACGGATAGAATACTAATCTTTCCTGGTATTGTAGTCTAAGTATTTTTCTATTTACAATCATCTTCTCTGTGGCCCCTTCCTTGCAATGCATCAGTCGGCTTGTTTCTGTTAATTTTTTGTAGCAGCGTCACAGTTTCTGACATGACAAATTCCCACCACGATTTGATACTCGTTACACAGAGAAATGGTCCATGTTGCCCCAAGGTAGCTGTCTGGACTGTGTATTTCAAGAAATAAAATGTGACGTATTTTTATCCTCTGCACAACTAAGCCTGCAGAAGTATTATGTATTTTTTAGCCAACTTTTATTCGTTGTTTGACTGGAATCTTTTTTTTGAGTTTGTATTGCCATATGAAGTTACCATTCACATATTCAAAAGCTTAGGTCAAACTGTCAATTGAACATATATTGAGTTCCCTTAAAAAAAAAAAACTTCTAAGTTTAAATAAGACGTGGAGAAAAATGAAGATCAGGGACAAATGATTAGAGAATATATTAATGAGAAAGGAGGGCATAAAAGGCACTGGGATAAGCTCAACTCTGCTTAACTGGATCCTTCACTTGGGATTTTGATCTTTGAAGACTTTTATCTGGCCAAGAAGCCTTAAAATTTTATTAAAAATTGAAACTGAGATTTTCATTTTGTGTCATTTATTAAACTAAAGCAGCAAGAGCACTCAAAAATGCAGGGCATCACCTAGCCAGAGCTAAATGTTACAATGATCCATCCTAAAATACACACACAAAATTGAAACAATTAAATGGAGACGAGATGAAAGCATTTCAAGAACTCAGCTGACAACATATATGGATGCAAGTAGTCCTCAAACTTGCAGCCATTTATTCAGTTATGATTTGAAGTTACAACACTGAAAAAGAGATTTATGAGAGGTTTTCACATGACTGGTGTAGCATCCCCATGGACACAATATTGAAATTCAAGCACGTGACAACCGGGCTTGACAGTTGCACTGTCCTGGGGTCATGTGATCATTTGTAACCTTCCCAGCTGGCTTCTGACAAGTCAATGGAGGAAGCCAGATTCACTTAATAATTGCACTTAACTATGGCAAAAAAGATCATAAAACATGGCACAAGTCAACTTTTAGCAACTGAAATTTTGGGCTCCATTATGATTGTAAGTCAAGGACTACTTGTATTACCTATATAATTATATATTTGTGGCTTGTTAGATGAGAATCCCCATTTTCCACCACAGTTTTCCAACTTTTTAGAATTGCTTGGTCAATGCCTGACATTTACCACTGCAGAAAAGTTTCCCTGACTTGAACTCCAGGAAATTAAGATTTTTACCCCAGATAATACCCAGATAATATCCCAAAGAAATCATCTTCTGCTGTGTAGTATACAATACTACTTACCTAACTTTATAGGTAATCCTGGGTTAAAAACCACCAATTCACCATTCAAAGTTACAACAGCACTGAAATGAGTCAGCTTATGACCAGTCAATATTTTGGATGTCCCCGCACCTCTGTACCATCTCACTATAAACTTAGTGTTTGGTAACCGTTTCGTGTTAATGATAGTTGTAGCATCCATGGTCACATGATCATTTTCCACCTTCCCTGTGGCTTCCCAAAAGCAAAGTCAATGGAGAAGCCAGCAGGGAAGATTGCAAGTTGCTAGGGTAAGTCTCCTCCATTCAGCAGCAGCCAGTCACACTGGGTTGGCACTGCACTGGCAATCCACAGGCACACTCCACATGGCAGCAGCCATTTCTGCCACCCACGCAACCTTCCCCAGCTGCCACTTAGCTGCCCACTGACCTGTTTGTGAGCTACCTGAAGCTGGCAACTTCCTGTCAGCTTCCCCACTGACTGGTTGCTGGAAACCTACATGAAGTTGTGAGGAGGTCGTTGCTTAACAATGGCCACAGGTTGGCTGGGATTGCCTTTGTTAAGCAATGACATTGCTATATGACATCACTTAGTGATGGAAATTCTGATCTCAAATATTATCGTTGAGGACTACTATCATATGTCACTATGGCATGGCTTATGATCAGTACAGTTTGTGACACAATAAAGCAGCAATAATATTTTTAATTATTAAGAGATTCTACTTTAATGTTCTTGACTTATCGATGGTTAGCTCCCTTTTAGGTTTTATTTCCACAGACGCCTAGTTAGGCAGAGAGGGGCAGGTGAGTGCGTGGGTGTGAGTTTTGATGCGAGAAATTTTCCAGAACCAGTTATAATACTAATCCTCCTTCCAATGGTTCAGCCAATCTTACCTCTTAGTGAACTGGAGAGTGATAGCCACCGGTTCAACCAGAGCCTACAAACTTCTGGATCCAGATGAATGGAATTCAAGCCACGGGTATAGCATGCCTGCAAACATCAGAGGGACCCCTTGGAATGCAGCAAGATGCTCTCATGTCACAAAGAATCATCAAATCCAAGAAATAGCTGTGTTGGTGTTACATACATATAAGAGGCACATAACCCTCAGTTGCATATGACCTCAAATATTTCGAGCATGGCCTTTGGCCTTTGGAATTGTACTGATATTTTTGACAGGAGCTAAAAATCAATACATTTAGGGCCATTGGGAGAAGGAGCTAGTCTCTCTAGAATCTAGATTTATCTATTTGCCTAGACCAGGGGTGTCCAACCCTGGCAACTTTAAGACTTGTGGACTTCAACTCCCAGAATTCCTCAGCCAGCTTTGCTGGCTGAGGAATTCTGGGAGTTGAAGTCCACAAGTCTTAAAATTGTCAAGGTTGGACATCCCTGGCCTAGACCATTAATGTACCCTCTCTCAGCTGCAAAGACAGATAGGGAGACATCCCCCTCCCTTCCATAGCATTCCTGTACAACTAAAAGCATGGTAAGATAGTGCTCACAGTTGTCCTTCTTTGCCCACAATATGCTAAACTAATTTATACCCAGTTTGTTGAATAAGCCATCACGGTATAAGTCACAGAAAGTCCATATTGGTTCTCAGACTGGTAACTTTGACTATTACTTGTTTGTAAACTGCCCAGCACTTATGAGGATTAAAGCAGAAGATGAATTAATAATTAGTCCGCAGTCAACCACAAGGCTCAATCATCCACCTCATATAAATTTATCTTACCACTTGCGCTTCCTCATCTGTCAGTTGGCTTACTCCTAGTTTCACCATTGCTTGGTCCAGATAATGCAGCTCAGAGAGATGGCTCCTCAAGCGATTTCTCAGGAAGAAAGATGGCAAGCGAGGCGTCAGGAACAAAACACGACTGAGAACTTTCTGAGAAAAACAAGGCAAAGATAACATTTCAGGTAAAAATGCTTTACTGTGAAATCTCCATTTCGGAAACATTTTAGCCTGTGGACAAGGTAGTAGGGATGAACAATGATGGCAGATGCAATTGCATCCTGCTTTAAATCCAACCCACTGCTGAATATGGAGTTTTAAGATTTGTAAGTAGGAAAACATTTAGTTTTTTGGGATTTCTCAAGCCTTTCAGGCAAAGCACATGAGCAGAAAGAGGAAATGGCAGTTAACAGATTCATCATAAAGGGACAATGAAGGCTTTTAAGCAGTTCTCCAGTTTCATTCCATGTTTATAATTTTATTAAAGTTATACAAATATACAAGTGAAATATAGGAAAAGGGGGAAAGGGAAGAAGGGAGAGAGAAAAGTGGGGGTAAGGAAGAAAAACAAAAATCATTAACTTCCAACTCTTTTCAGTGCAGTACAATAAAAACATTAAAGCCACTAATAGCCATTTCTTTGACAAGAAATTTATCCACCGGTAATTAGCAAATCCCGAAGTCAAAGTTTCATTTTTTTTCTGTCTCAAGCACAAAAATTAGAAACCGTTCCAAGTACAAAGTTAGGTGTATTCTTTTCTTTGATTAAAGTCAACTTCATTCCTTAAAAGGCACCTACCACATGCTGAACCGTGAGCTGTTGGATACCAAAAGGATGCCCCACAAATAAACTCCTCACAGCTTTAAGCTCTGTTATATCTGGATGTAATCCTTCCTGAACCTTGAAGATTAAGAAACAGAAAAGCAATTTTTACCAAGTATAAAGTAGGACCTGATCCCGTGCACAACTAAACCAACTACCACAAGTGTTTAAAACATCCTCCCACCAGGCTTTAATATATGCCAAATTCTACCTTACTGCATCAGAAAATGTGAATATTAAAGTCTTCCCAACACCTTACTACAACACTCAACTGGTACCTCCCTATAATTGCAGCATGTACAGCTACATGCTACCTGAATTGGCTTATTTCTTTCTTTCCATTATAATGTATGCTGACATTATTTTATAAAACATGAGTGCATCTGCACAGAGTCTTTTCAACAGTGTGAAACCATTAAAAAACTGAAACATTCTCACACTTTTGCCTACATGAGATGAACTATATAGGATGATCTATGCACTTGACCAGACTACAAAAAAGCAAAAGTCTTTTTTTTAAAGATTTTTTTTTTAAATATCCAGGATTGCTTCTTTGTCAATGGAGAAAGAGGTACCTTTTCACAGAGGTATAGCATCCGTTGGCGAAGCTGAGGATCATCTGAGAAGTGAGATAGATGTGTTAGACCATCAATCACTTCAGTATATGCCTCCCTCCTCATATTGTGGTAAGTGTTCAGAAACTCAGCTTGTTGTTTAGGAGTCCAGAAGTGGCGTATTAAGAGCTGTCTTGGGAATAAATACCTTGGGAAGGAGAAATCGTTTGGAAGAAGTGACTTCTAAACGAAGACGACTAACAAATACGAATTTAGGAATACGTATGTTATACATTTACAATCAAATTTAGGCCAAGGAAATCCAAATGTTGCAACAGGAAATTGATTTTACAGCTTCCACCCACAGTGAAAGCTTTTATTTAAGGTAATTTCCATTAAGGGAAGAAGAAAACAACAGTCTGGCAACTGTAACCACGGCCCTGACAACCTGAAATCCTATGGAATTATTCTTTTGGAAATTTAGCCAGGTTTTGCTAAAAGCCAACTTTTTAAGTTATCTCCATAGGACTGCTGAAAATGGACTTGAGAAAAAGAAAAATGCTATCTTATGTTGCCAATATATCCAATAAAACTACTTCTGTCATATAGTAACTGACCTGACAATACATACAACCTTCCGAGATCTGGTTCCTCAGTCTTGGAAAATCCCAGTCTTTGGAATTCTCTTCCCAGATGCCATAATTTAGGTGCCAAGCTAGATTTGCCTTGATGATTCCATTAATAATAAATGTGATTCTTATTTGCCTCTTGTTCTTCTTTTCAGTTTTATTACTGTTTTGTTTTCCATTTTGTTTCTTTTAATATTTTTTACAAGCCATCTTGCACTCATGAAAAGTGGGTGGAAGGTTTAATAAATAAACCTGTTCTGTTCTTGTGCAACATATTCCATATTCTATGCTGGCAGTCACGGGCTTTATCAGTAGACAGAGTGGCCTTCAATCATATTTTAATCCAAATCTGTTAGAGCTAATTGTCCTCATGTCCTGTTTCCCTTTCCCCCTGTTAAACATTTCCCGATCTTTAGATTTGTCCTTTTTTTAAAAAGTGAGCATTTTAAAGCATTTAGCAATTATACTGAAAGACAGGAGAAAGGGCAAAAAGGCTGCATCTCAGTAAATCTTAAGGATCTAGATAGAGACAAAATTCTACTTACATAAGCAAAAGAACAAAATAGTTGGCAAAGGGTGGAAGAGAGAGAATCCCGACAGGAATGGCTTTAATAAGGTCCCTGCGAAACTAGAGGAACAATGCATAGTTACTATTATTGTTAATTGCCAGAGACCCCCTTACTAATGCAGGAAACCAGTTTTACAATTGATCGTTTTTGGTTCTTTACCCTTTTGAAGTTTTTATAATCCCTTTACAAACTTTATAATACACTTATAGTTGCAATACAGAGGAACCTCAGGTCATGAACGCTTCTGTTTGCAACCAAATTGGGTGGCAAACAAAAAAATCCACCCAATTTTTCAATCAGATCACAATTCAAAAATCGGGTGGTGAACAAAATTGGTGCAGAAAGATTCCCTTTCCGTGCTGATTTCCCCTTCGGAGCCAATTTTTTTTTTACTGCGTGCATACACAATCAGTCATGTTTCCGGACACGACCAAATCAGGTAGCAACCAGAGTCCAGGAACGAATTACGGTTGCGACCTGAGATTCCATTGTAGTTACAATATTGATATTAGTTTACCTTTAGATTTTAGTGATCGTAATTTTGTATTTCATGATAGCTACTTTAACTTCATAAATTCTACAATTTTACCCAAATTATCTCTCTTATATTGACTTTTGTCTTTCAAAACATACCCTAGTAGTCTTGATATCATGTTGTTATATAGTTTGTGCTGGAGATCTAAATTTTAGTCAATTATTTTAGCATATAGACCAGGAATTGTTTATCAATCATCTTAAAGCTATTAGAGACTACTATATATGACTATTGTCCATGGCACATAATTATTCACTCATTATTCTAAATCATGATTGATTTAACCAAGATTTATTAAAAACCGTAACTGTTTGGATTCATGAAATACTGGAAGTCCATGACAATTGGAGCTTAAATCTCGATTGTTTAATGATGAGGACGTTGAGCTGCCGACATGACTGTTTCACTCAATGTCTGCAATCACAGCATTCCCTTGTTATGGTCACTAAGCAATCTCCGGGGTTGTTAAGCCCATGGAGTGAAAGAGTTGCCCACTGAGCTCAACTCCTCTCCATTTGCACATAAGTGCAAACAGGCTGCCAAGCACCCAGATCGCAATAATGTTACAATGGGGGATGGGGGGGAATGTTGTTGCACATTTTATGACAGATAGAATTGCTTTACAGCAAGGGTGTCAAACTCCCAGCCATCATGTTGTCCTCACGTAACTTATCATGACTTTCCCCCTCTTCACTAAACCAGAGGTGGGCGTGGCCAGCGTGTGACGCATCTGGCCCGCGGGTTGTCACCCCCGCTTTACAGGGTATGAAGCACAAAAAACGGGTTAAGTCAAGGAATGTCTGTATTCTAAATTATGATGAGAACATTCTAGGTTGCCTGATTCAAATTTTCTGCTCCACTATATATAATCTGAATGGTGATTAGTGGGACACAAGATTTTACGGTAGGCCAGATTTTCACTTGGTGCATTGTGAACATAAGTCACTGTGGTTTAAAGTCACGGTTTTGCTTGATGGTTATGCCAGGAATCTAGGTCAGCCCCGAGGCCGTATGTCACAAATTACTTGCCCTAATTTCAAAATTCTGTGCAAAAAATCAGTCCAGGCCTCTAATAAGAATTGTCAGTTGTTTTCTTCCAGCTTTGGAAAAATGCAAGATAGTGTGAGGAAATAACTATTAGAAAAATGTGTGGCTTTATATTTGTTTTAACTCTAGCCCCATCTGCTGCTTGCTTTATCCCTAATTACGAGACAGACTCCAGATTATTACTGAACAAATGTAGCCTTAGAAAGGGGGGGGGGGGAAATGCTCATTTCTGATTATTTCAAAAACGGATCATCTGTAAAACAACACTGTATCAAACTAAAGCAAACATGTTTCCAGCATAAATATATTTCTCATTACCTCAAGTAGATCATTTTTTGTTAAAATCCTTGAACGGAGAAGCAAAACAGTGTACTAGATATGCACTATGTAAGATAATTCCTCACGTATAAATAAAGATGATTCTTGAACTGCAGGAACTAGAGACTGCCTAAAATTAACTTGTTAATTCCAACATCTAGTGCAATTTAAGCATCAGAAAGTCAAGAGGAAAGAAAGAACGTGGAATATAAACCCACCTGTCTTAGTCTCTCCATTTCCCTGTATGGAAGTTGATGGAACTGGATATTTTTATTTAACATGTCTGCCTTTATTCTTCTTATTTCTTTTGCTTCTGAAAAGAAAATCTGTAAGCCTGAACAGAACATATAATTATTTTCAGATTTCACTTCCACTTTCTTGTTGTGTATTTCATAGATTTATTTTAATCTGAAAATATCACTACCCATTTCCTTCTAGGTTACAGTTCCTGGTCTCAAAGGTGCTTTTTCAAAGGGCACCTGGACTGTTTTTTTCCTTGAAGAAGAAGAAAACGTTTTGCTTCTCATCCAAGAAGCATCATCAGTTGGAAACATTTTCTTTTTCTTCAAGGAAGAAAACAGTCCAGTCGCCTTTTGAAAAAGCACCTTTGAGACAACTACATGACCTGGATGACTGAGAATCTCCAATGATGTACAGTTCCTTGTGTTTATTGATTTTGGGGCCCACTTTGACTGTTTTGTTCAATTTCTAAACCATCTTGGCCATGTAATTGTTTCCCTCCTGATTTAATGGTATTAGGGCATGCCACAGAAATACAGAATCGTAACATTGATCTTCATAATGTAATGATCTTCATAATGTAAGCTTCTTCAGCCTGGTTGTAAGGTATACTATATTTATACTATGCATATAACTATTTTCTTACAAGGAATGAGAGAAAACTGTTGAGAAATAAGAAGACATTCAGCTATGCTGGCTATTCTTTTCGTGTTCTTTCAGCTCAAGACCTCTTCCTTTCCCTGTCCTTCTGCAAAACCCACTGCTTTCATAAAATATATTTTACACACGCACACAATGTCATTCAGAATGTCAGCATATTGCTCATATGTTCATCTTTTCCTCCTCAGATCAAACTATGGACTAATTCAGATTTAATGGAAAACACTTCTTTATTAAAAAGAACAAAGTACTGGAAGCCTTAAGCTCACATTCTTTCTTCTCTATTTCCCTCTTCCTCTAGGAATTAACAAACAACAATTACCTAAGACTTCTGAGCTTAAAGATGTTCCTGAGAACATGTCAGGATCAAACTGTAATTTCAAATAAGTCTCTTGAAACATTATAATGAACAGTTCCACTTAAATTGGAAGGATGCATTTTTAAAAGCATTTTCCTTGTAAATCTAAAAGAACTGGGAAGGGGAGGAACAAGCACGAGAGTCTTTCATTATACCGGAATTGGATACATTTATCTGGAATGCTGCATATATGATTAATTATTATAATTAATATAAACATTTATTTTCCAAACTTCAGTTTAGCGTACAGAATAGTATGCAGAAACACTCCCATTTTCAGTTTGAAATGGTTGTTTTACATAGAAAAAGCTATTTCAATTAAGTTTTGAGATTGTTCAAAAAAGCTTAAAAGAGGGCTCTATTTTATTTATTATTAAATTTATTTGCCGTCCATCTCATTTCAAAACAATTCTGTTAGACACGCTTCCATCAGTGCAATTCATTTCAAACCTGAAACAGGATATTTTCAATTTATAACATTTTGCGTACTACCAAAATGAAGACATATATTCCTGGGTTGCATTTTCACTGAAATTACAAACTATACTTTTAAATGAAAACCCACCTTTTAAAAATGTTGAATATAGCTGATAGAAACGTGGGAATTTCCTTTCCAAATATCTTTCATACTGATGATTCAGGTATTTGATTTTTGAAACCAAAGCAGAGGTAAGCTTGTTTGAATTTGCTTTTGAAGAAAAATGGCACACTGGAAGTCTGAAAGGACATCCAAGTTCAGCACTTGTATCGTCATGCATCTCTTTTATGCCATTTAGCTCACAAAGAAACATATTGTAGTTATAACAGAATAATGGACAACAGCTATCTCTGACTGATGTTTTAAATAATACAGCTTAATATTAGCATTTTATGCCCACAATGAAAAAAGGTTGGAACACATTTTCATACAACTTATACATAATTATAAGTGGAGTACCTAGTTTTATTACTAAAGCAAAATAACACTGCAGTCTAATTGCAAAGGTATGCTCAACAAAAAAAACCTCTATGCTCAACAAAACTGCAAAATGTGTATCTTGTTAATCAGATACTGTGGTTCATTAAATATGGTTTAAATATTTTGATAACAGGAAAATATCCAAATTTTAAAAAAAATATTCTAAACCACCCCAGCTACAAAAAAAAACCCTGTACAACAGTTTTACTTTCATCAGCTAGTGTGGTAAAACTCCTTTTTTGAAAAATGTTGTGACAAGTGCTAGAACAATGAGAGAATCAATGCTAATCATTCTTCCTTCTGGTAACTTTGAAACAAGACAAACATTTTGGATTTAAAGCAATCTTGGCAGGAGGAACAGATTTTCTTCCAAGTAAGAGATTAAATATTCTTTCCAAAGCCAAATTGTAAATATGTGTTGATGTTTTATGTACTGTGCAAAATAACAATGAAACGACCACTTTAGATTGCTAGCTCATGAGGCAAATTTAAAACATCATCTTCTTTTGCCTTTAATCTCTGAATATAGAAAACCTATCATGTTATCACGAAACAAATGTGAGAATATTCTTAATTATAAGTAATATTTCAGTTTTAAAAGTGTTTTCCTTGTGCTGGAAGTAATCACATCAGTGAAATGAAGCATTCAAAAATGACATTCTCTCCATCTGAAATATCCCCAAATAAAGCCTTATTTTTGGTTAACTGCTGCTAAAGAAGTAATCAGAGTTCTGAAGTGGAAGGCAGAAACTGTGTTTACTTGGCTTGGTTTGAAAATAGCATGTTGTAAAAAACCAATCATTCCAATATATTCCATAAACAAGTGTTAAAGAAAATTGTGACGTAACAAAATGTATAGCCCACCCAGCGTGTATTTTACTTCAGACTGTTTGAGTTCATTACAGTTCAAACATCTTTCCTTGATCACTTGTCTTCCAGGTGGACTACATCTACCATTATCTCACACCATATTCATAGAATTCAGGACTTGAAAGGTGCTGTTTAGGTCACTGATCCCCAACCAACTATTGACTGGAGAACTCCAAATTAAAATATACCAAAATAGCTGCCTAAGAACCAGCTTGATGTATAGTGATTAAGGCATCAGGCTAGAGATGGGAAGATTTGAGTTTTAGTTCTGCGTAGGCACAAAGCCAGCTGAGGGACCTTGGGCCAGTTACTATCTCTCAGTCCTAGGAAGCAAGCAATGGCAAATTCATCCAACAAAAGGGAGTCCATCTGCCCTCTAAAAATTGGTTCCCCTGTTGAATAGTAATTATCATCAGAATGTTCTAACCTTCAAGCAGAATCTCCCTTCCTCTAACTTAACCCCTTTAATTCTGTATGCTGTATAGCAGGGCTGTCAAACCCATGGGGCAGATGCATCACGCACTGGCCACACCCACGCCCGGTTTAGCGAAGGAGGGAAAATCACAATACGTCACGTGATGACGCCATGATGACGCAGGTTTGACACCCCTGTTGCATAGGTAGTCCTCGACTTACAATCACAGTTGAGCCCAACATTTCTGTTGCTAAGCGAGACATCTCTTAAGTGAGGTTTTTCCCTTTTTATGACCTTTCTTGCCACAGCTGCTTAAGTGAGTCACTGCAGTTGATTAGTTAGTAACCTGGTTGTTAAGTGAATCTGACTTTCCCACTGACTATGCTTCTCAGAAGGCCACAAAAGGGATCACATGACCTGGGACCAGTGGTGGTATTCGACCGGTTCTGCCTGGTTCTGGAGAGCCGGTAGTGGCGATGAGCAGGGGAGACCGAACCGGTTCTCTTTGCTGCTCTGTGGTTGGCCCACCCGCCCACCCTGGCTCCCATAATCACTTTTATGGCCAGAATTCAAAGCACAGCTGCTTTGCGCGGCGCACAATAGCACCGCGCGGCAGCTGCTGCAACGACCATCGTGCGGGCTTGCAGGAGGCAAGTTAGAACGCCTCTGCGCCTGCGCAAAGTGCGTGTTTGGCGTGCGTGTGCACGCAAAGTGTGTGTAGGTGCGCAAAGCCACGCCCACCGAACCGGTGGCAACTTTATTTGAATACCACCACTGCCCGGGACACAGCAATGGCCATAAGTATGACCCAGTTGCCAAGAATCTGACCTACAACCAGGTGATCGCGAGGATGCTGCAAAGATGGTAACTGTGAAACAGGGTCACAAGTCACGTTTTCTCAGTGCCATTCTAACTTTGAACGGTCACTAAACGAACTGTTGTAAGTCGAGGACTACCTGTACTTCGGATCCGAAGAAAACAAAAGTCACCAAGACCTCCAAAGGATGCGATGGGCTGCCGCCTTAGCCACCTTTCCTCCAGGCGGCACCTGCACAGCAACCCTCCCTCCTCATAGGATCGCCCTGGCTTGCCCTCCTCTCAGCCTCCGCTTTCTTCCTTGAAACCCTTAAATGGATAATCGGGGCAGAATTTCTTCAGGCGGAGATTAACCGGTACGGAGCAGAACCATTTCCACCCACCGTCGCTGGCTGAGAACTTAATCGGGTTACTTTTGCAAGGGGGCACTGACTCAAGGTGCTATTATTGCTTTCCCTCGCCTCCAGCACGAAGGGGACCAGGCATGAAGCTTCCCCCCCCCGTTGCATGGAAGTCCGGGAAAAGGCACTGAGACCTACTAGGAAGGGAATGCAAACGGCGGCTGCAGTCATGCCTCTCTCTGTCTCCGGTACCAGAAGCCGGCTTGCCTCCCAGCCCAGACTCTCACCTTAGGGCCGGCCACGGGGGAGGCTCTGGTGGGCGTAAAGCCCGGTGAAGGGAAGCAGCGGGTACGGGAGGTCGGCGAAGTCCTAAACGCAAGCCGGAGCCGCCAAGGCGGCAGCAACAACGCCGGCCGGGCAACAGCAACAGCAACGCCATGCCCGCCGAAAGAGGCAAAAGAGCCCCCGAGGTCTTCCGGGGCGGCTGCGCTCAGCTGCCCGGGTAGCTCACGTGAGAACTCCGGGCGGAAGAAGCGGCTACGGAAGGAGGAAGAAGCCTTGCGACCCCTTGGCATCACGAATACGTGACGTCTGTCTGTCTGTCTGTCTGTCTCTCTCTTTCTTCTTTTTTCTCCCCCCTTCTCTCTGTCTCTGTCTCTCTCTCCCTCCCTCCCTCCCCCTCTTTCTTTCTTTCTTTCTTTCTTTCTTTCTTTCTTTCTTTCTTTCTTTCTTTCTTTCTTTCT